CTCCTTTTTCCCTCCTTTTTTCCTCCGTTCTCACTTCTTTTTTTTTTTCTTTTTCCTTCTTTTTTCATTGTTTTTCCCCCCTCCTCCCACCCAGCCATACCTGCACAAACGTGACTGGTACTAAGTAGAAGAAGATGAGCACAATAACCAGGCCAGTGACAACAAATTTCCTGATAGACATCTGTCGTACTGGATCAACGGCCAGATTGGGCCAGCAGACGTCACGAGGCTCGGGTGCAGGTATGGTTGCCCAGGTCATAGGGTCGGGCGACAACTGTGTTTGCGCAGCAATGGTCGATCCCCATCGTGACTTGAAAATGACAAACGCAGTGGGGAGCACACTTGCCGGATCTTGAACGATCTCGGATTGCTTCAGAGTAATCTGACGGTCAATAGCAGCTAACAACCTGACAAATGTGAAAACAACAGACAAAAACATATTAAATAAATAAACAATTAATTAATTAATTAAAATAACTATACAAATAAATAAAGAAATAAATAATTCATAAAATCTAATATATATTATATCTATATATACATATATCGTCAAACATAACTGCCCAGTAAACGGTGGGCAGAGAGCGAGAAGAGGACAACAAACGAGGGGGGCGCTGCGACAAACTGTTTCGTCGACGTTTCACCGACTCGTCAATCAGTAGAGGCTGAACCCTCAACAGTCTGCACAATCCCCTACCTAACTGATTACACTGTAAGTTATAATCCACCTTAACCCCAGTTGTTATGGTTAAGCATCAACAATGACTGCCCCACAAATGGTACCCCTCTGAGGTGGTGGGAACCACCAAGCACTGCCCTCACCACATGGAAAACTCTACTATACATAATATATATTCCGTTTGACTATATAGTATATATATAATATGCTGTGCCTCTAGTGTCAGCGGCATGTCTGGAGTGTATTTTTTGGCTGTGACAAACCTTTCTTTGTTTCGTGGGTGTTTTGCTTGGTTGTTGCTTGTGATGGGGTGTGAACCGACAGTCTACAGAGTTTTCCATCTGCTGTGGGTGAGTGATAGTCTGCTTTGATTCTCGTCACAGGTACCTTGAGGGCAGTGGTTGGTGGTCCCCACCACCTGAGAGAGGTATCAGTTGTCGGGCAGTCGTTGATGCTTAACCACAACAGGGGTTAAGGTGGATTATCACTGACAGTGTAATCTGTTAGGGGATTCTGCAAACTGTCGAGGGTTCAGCCTCTACTGATGAGTAGTTAGGTGAAACTCCAACGGAACAGTTCGTCACAGCCCCTCATTTGTTGTCCTCTTCTCCCTCTCGGCCTACAGTTCACGGGGCAGCTCTATTTGACGACATATATATAATATTTTAATATTTATATGACTATTTGAACTTATTTTAGCAATGTGCATCTACAGTGAAAGAAATGACATCTGTTTCAAGTTTCAAACCTTAGCTACCAGCTGGGCCGCCCGGGTCCCAGGTGGCCAACTCATGCAAGGACC